TCAAAGCCAGTCCTCAAGTGTACAACTGTTTAATGAAACTTGAAAATAATGCCTGGTTTAGCCTTTTCCCCCTCATATTTCCACTATATTAAGGGTACTCTCTTTGGTTATATTCTCCAGTAAGCTGGTTTATGGTTCTTGAAAGTGAAGCCAAAAAATCCACGGAATCACAGAACATCTCAAGGTGGAAGGGACCCATAAGAACCAGAAAGTTCAGCTCCCAATAGAGGCAATTTGAACGGTTTCCATAACCAGAAACAGCTACCCTTATGAAAGATTCCCAGAGTTATTCAGGGAATCATTCTTGAAGCTTCCACATTTCACAAGATAAGAGCCCGTAGAAAGACAGGCAGAGTCATGTTCTATCAATCTGAATGTTTCTTCTTGACTTTATAGTGGCTGTGTGTACAGCCTGTAGAATATTGTCTTCTCTCTAGATCACAAGAAACCCATCAGCAATTTTGCAGTGAAAGCTTGTCCTGGTTGAATAGCAGTCTTCTGAAGTTTGTTACTGAACTTTCTGAACTCTGGTGCTTGTATGTAAGATGCCTTGCCTGAACCAGTCACCTCAAGCTCAACACAGGAAGCCTTTTGCCCTGAAGGGACTGCAGCTTCCAATACTGGGTGGCACTCTGCAATCTTTTAACTTCTAGTTTGGTGAGACAATATGGTAGAAGAACCAAAAAACAGAAAGAAGTCCCTAAAATTTAACTTGCTGCCAAGTTACATACCAACCAAAGAAAAATGAGAGTCCATGGGCTGCACAACCAAGCAGGCATGAAGTGCATGCCAGGAAGGACTTTGGCAGACTGAGGGTAAGAAATGGTGCAATGAAATAAGGGAAAGGATTCCCAACATGCCAATGCTGTGAATTGCCCTGTGACAAGGGATTTCTGCTTATAGAGTTGTACATTTGGAAGACAGAAAAGCAGTGAATCAAGTTAAAAGCAAATAGGCTTATTGTCTAGAGTTTTGGAAATTTATGGTCAGTTCATCCAAGTACGCCAAAGTTTACCTTTTCCCTGAAACTATTGCACTAAGTTGGCCTTCACCACAAACTCAGCCTCAGCCACCTCTGTTATCACACTGTAATCACAATCTTTTTCAAATCATCGTTTTGGTTCTGCAGATATTCAGGTCTGATTTTTAATCACTGACATATTAAGCATCAGCAAAATAGTTTGCTTAGCTGTTCCATTGGCAATTTTTAAAAAGGAATGAAAACATGTACCCTTTTTGATTACCTTGTTAAAGTGAGTCATGATGGCATTATAGCAGTGCTCACTATTTCTGCTGTAATTAAGAAACTGTCATATTTTTCATTAAAACACATTCTTTAAAATGAGACTTTTAACTTGGTCATTTCAATCAGGACCAGCCTGAAGTGTGGCATGTGCATGCAACATGCCAACTAGATAAAGAATATGACATCTGAAATTTGTTTTTGTAAAAAGGTAAGCATTAAAGTGCCCATTACATGCATAGTAATTTATCTATTTTATATAAACATTTTCTACATTTTAAATAAAAAATAGTTTTCTGTTCTTATAATTGGTTTTTGCAGGTTTTTAACACTGCTTCAAACTGTAAACCACACTATGCAATACCAGAGAAAAAAGATTGTTTTGAAATAGAAATAAATTACTATTTACAAGGCATGCAAATATGAGATGTGAAGCAGAATTTGGGATTTTTTTCCCCAACACTTAAGACTTAGAGGTTTGTTATTTAAAAAAAAAATCTAAAATATCTCAGAGATTTAACAGGAGATGATAAAAATCAAAAATCTTGTACAGAAGAGCCAATTGGAAAGAAACTGGGATAAATGCATATTCAGTGTATGGTATCTAAAATTATGTAGCACCTATTGGTTTGATATGAGACTTAAACTAGATAATCTAAGACTGAAATTGCTGCAAATACTCCCAGTGCATGTGTTTCAAGTAGTAACACTACCTTGCAAAGAATGTTCTTTCTCTAGCAAAATTTTTGTTGTTGTTGCTATTTTATTATCACTTTCATTAAACTGGACCCAGTATTAGAAGGGCTAATTCCATGGCAATGAATTTGTTTGTCTTAGAGGTCCTTTTACAAACTTGAGAGCACTGTATTGCTGCAGTGAAATATGTCAGGGTGTCACATGAAATAGCTCTACCACTCAGGTAGTCAGAGGGGAGAGAAGGTCATTGAAAATGACCTGTTTTCACATGAGAACAGAATCACTGGAATAATATTGGTTTCATGGAAGAAGTCATCCAAAAGAGTATTTAAAAGGTACAATACCTCATACTTCAGTTGTGGGAAGTTATCAATTTTTACTAGTATCAGTTTTTTGATTGATTAATTAACTATCTAGGTTCAACAATACACATATGGGATATATGAAACATCCACAAAATAGAAAATTCATTCTAGGAAAAAAGACAGAATATGATACTCCTGTATCAGTACTGTCAGTTCCCACCCATCCATGCCTATATTATCTCCCATTTTCTTCACTGCTATTCAACACATCTTTTCTTCACCTTTACAAATGACATTTTTGAAACAATAAAATGCACTGTGCTGCTCAAACTTTCTTGCTTCAATGCTGTACAAGTAAAGCTACATCCTTTGTTACTAATATACACAAACCTATTGGTATGTGACTTTGACTGCAGGCTGAGAACGGGCTATAAATTTAGAAATCAATATCTAACTCTATCAATATTCATTTTACTTTTTCAATACAAAATACAAAGGTGAAAGAGCAGTAAATAAGCTGGAGTACTGAAATAAATTGGGTGTTCTTGTCACAATTAATAAATGTTTAACCAATCACACTGCTTGCTACAGAAGTCTGTGGCTTTGTAAAGTGTCTGAAAGTAGCAGGTGCTACCCTTGTGAGACTCAAACCCAGGGAACGCGTTCCAACACCTCTTTAGGATCGTTCTCATCAGTACTGCTGGACCTAAAGGCACAAATTACCATTTTCAGCACTGTGCAGATTTTCACAAGAGTTAATTTACCAAAGTAGTTTTTTCCAAATGCAAATGGGAATTTAGGAAACACTCTTACCAACACATTGACTCAGACCAAACTTTGCCAATTTGCAGTCCATGTTAGAAAACACTTGCAGTAAAGGAGTCATTTACAGACAGCCTTTCAGGTTTCACTACGGTATCAAATACAAACAATTTTGAGGAGAATGTTTTTTTCATTTCTAACTTCTGCTCATATAAACAACTGCTTATTTTTTTCTTTCAAGAAAGAAGCTCACAAATTCTTCCACATAAAATCAAACCCTTTTCTTCCCATATCTTAGCTAACTAAAACCACTGAAAGAAGAATAATCAAATAAGCAATCTCTTATTTTAATCCCAATTTCCAAATGTACATTCATTCTAAAAGAAAACCGTGTTTCTTTCATAAAATCTTATGGAACACAGACAAAAAGCAAGGCGTGCGACAGACAAACAATAATTTAGCTGTAGAAAGGTTAGCCTTTGAGAAAACTATAATAATCTGTAGCATGCTATACAGTTACAAGCCTATTCAATGTTAACCAAAGGTTCTATTTGCTTAAAAACTTACAAGGATGAAGTGCAGAAAAACAACAACTTTTCTAAGACCACAACAAAAATTCTCAATCCTCCTGATCACAAGAAAATTGAAAAGATTACCTTGAACTTGAAAAGAAAAGAAGGCACATCAGTTAAAAATTATCTTATATGATGCCTTTATCCAACATTATTCTCTGTTGCTCTTCATATAACGGCAAACTTTGGGGCAAAACCGTTTCTAAAACTGTGAGTTCATGGACACATAACATTGAATGACCACATATTTGCCTTAGTATCAAAATATTGGCTTTGTAAAGTTACGCAGAGGACCCAGCTTGTAAAATAAAATTCTGAATACTGAAAGCCCTAAGTAAAGTGAATAATAAAATTAATTTCACAATACTGTATAACCTCTCAGTACAAAATGACATCCTCTAGTACTTGAAAGTTGTGAAGTGAAAATCACCTTGTAGAAATAATTACGTTATTCTCTCTTCAGCCATTAAGTATTTTTCTTTCTTGGTTCACATATGTTCAGAGTTTTAGAAGCTGACCCATAGATTCTCTTTTTTTCATACTGCTGCCACTAAGGTACTTTTATAACATTGTTAATATTATTCCTGGTCTGTTTCTGCCACTGAGGTTTGAAACAAAGAAGTTTCGGGGGGGGGAATTCAGTCAGAACACAAGTATTAGGCATCTCTAAAGACATCTACTTGAAATATATTTGAAAATTCTATGTATTGCAAATATTGCTGCTGTAGTTTATGTTTGACTAGGACATGCAGTCCAGATTTCTATGTTAGAAATATATATAAAGGCTCACATACAACCTACTCTTTCTAGTATGCACATATATAATTAATACAACAAACTGATGAGAGTCCTATAAATCACTGCTAAGTATTGAAAAAGTAATTTCACAGCTGTGACATCAGCAAAATGCATCCAATGGTTGTGACCTCGCATCTGTAAAAATCTTTCAGAAATGTGCTTGCAAGGGCTTCCTGTTAATCTACAGCACTAATTTTAAAGCTGTGTTTCACAGCTTTATCACCATATTTTCTATTGTTTACCCAAGAATTCACATCCTAACTTTATTGTGCAGGGTATTTAGAGCATTCATATGCAGAAAACAAGATGCCTCAGGTCTCTTCCCTTGACATGTTTGAAGGGACATAAGCAGTAATCTTTGCTGTCTCAGTATATGAAAAAAGATTTATTGTCTTTAAAGTAGTGCTGTGCTACAAAAGACTGGAAATTGGCAATGATTGCAGGAGAGTGGAGGGAGCCTATTTATTTCTTAATCTTTATTAATAAATAAGAATAGAACACATTTGAAGTTATATGGGAAGTTATTGAATTTATGAAGCTTTTCCCCAGGTCACTGACCTACTGCTTTGTGTTTAGAGATTTAACATCTTGTGGTCTGTGCTCTGTCCCAGGGAAATTGGTTACCTGTGGGTCCTGGCAGGGGAGCAGCTTTCCTTCTCCGCTTGATGTCTCCCATGCACAATGATCCTAAATGTACACTGGTTTGCCTGCAAGTAATTATAGGAGAAAACTATTAACAAAGGAAGAAAACTGCCACATAAATACACAGCTTGTATAATCTGAACCTGTATCAAAACATTCTCAACCAAGATGAAGCTGCACAGTCAAGCCACCAATCTTGTTTATATCGAAACATAATTATGTTTGTTGACAAGCGCTCAGTATCTAAATGCAGCATCATAAATTGTTACTGGAATGAATAAATATAAATATAAAGGGAATGCTTTTTAATTTTCAAAACTGGCAATCTGTCTAGCTCAACATAAAACAAAAACACTGTTGCTCTTGACAGGAAAATAGCTAAGATTAATTATCTAAAGAGATCACAATGCTGTTTGTAGGTTATCAATAGGCTGGTAATGCTTTACTGTCAGAGCAGCATTTATTACATGGAAAATATTATCAATTTTTTTAAGGCAAGATGAAGAATGAATGAGAAAACATGAAACAGTAAACTCTTCAAAGGTGCATGAAATAAACTTGTAGCATAACAATTTATCCTCTTCTAATTCACTGGCAAGTTGTGAGAATATCACGGAAGCACAATATCTGTTAAGCTTCTTGAACAATTATGAGCTTGCACTTGGAGGCTGGAAAATTGATGGAGATGCAGAGGGTGGCAAACAAGCAAATGCTATTGCATTAAACCCAGCTGTTAGAAGTCAGTACCACAGGAAATGGTAAATTTGGAATTTTCAAGTGTTGGCTTTTGGAATAGAATCTCAAAGGACAATTATAGTTATTATTTTTCTTAAAGCAATATAGAATGCCTGCAGAATTGAATATATATAGCTGACTTTTCTTTTTTAAAGAACCAGAACAGAATGGGGGGGGGAAGGATGAAGTAATTTTAATATGTATCTATAAATGCTACTGAGAAATGCATTTCTTACCACATAAGTGTAGTGAATTTTGATAAAGTTACAAGCTGAAAATTGCATCTGACAATCCACAGCAGTATAGTAAAACTGTCACTCATGGGATTTGGTTTCAGTGTGGATATATGACTTACTCTTTATGGCATTTATAAACATTTTAAAGCTGGGCTACTTCTAAATGAATAACAAATGGTCATATACTGTGGAGAGACCTCAGATCTGCTCAATAATGTAAAAGAATGACAACAATGCCTTGATGAGTAAGATGACAATGTACAATCCTCTGCATATTTCTTCTAAGAAGATACAGTAGATTAACAAGTAGCACAGTGCTTGTATTTAAATAATAAAATATTTCAAGGAACTTATGTTTCACAGAGAAGTGCACTCTAGCTTCACCTAGTAAACCCTTATTTCAACACTTTTCTCCCTTTGTTTTAAGCCACATTTTCCTTCCAATTCCAACATGAAATTTTATCCAATTTAATATCAGGAACTCAACACAGTTGGACTAGTAAACTAACAGGATGATAATTTTCAGTTCTGAATTTAGCAAGAAATCAAGAAGTGTAACCCTTTCATAACTGATTGTATGATAAAGAAAATGAATATTTAAATACAATATGGGGCAACGCTAACTACAGAAAATATATTTGAGATGTTTGATCAGCAGTGGATCAGTATTTAACAATGGTATCAAACATGCAGAATAAGTTGTGTGATAGTCATAAATTATATATTCTACAGTGTGAAACTCTTGTTTTCTGAATGAAAAAGGGAGAAAGTCTGCAGGAATACAAGTAGGATAAAAGATAAAAATTAATAAAGTCAGGCAATTGAGCCTGAAGACCTGAGCCACAGCAGTAACAGTGAGCAGCATTTGAGTTATTTTACCAGAATTGATTATCTGTTACACTGCATTGAGATATCTAGATTATTGATCTGTAAGATTATGGTACTGGGGTCTCCCCACTTTTCCTCCAGGCACAGGGAATGGAGTTGCAAGGTAAGTAAGGACTACTTTGTTATTGTTGTCACCCTTCATGTAGAACACAGCAGTTACTTTTTAATTTAAAATCAATGAAAGTCTGAAAGGCAGCCTTGTTCCTTCAGCATAAATGAATCATTTGCCTTTGCCGATCACAACAACCCCATCACCAGCCAAGGTGAGCGTGGGTATTTCTTTGTTGTTGTCAAAAATTCCCTACACCACAAATAAATAACAATATGCTGGAGCACCAATTAAGCTTTGTCAAGCCCGGTCTGATGGCCGCTACCATCAAATGTTCAGCCAGCTTGTGATTGTAAAGCTGCATTTGCCTTCACCAGGGCTTAACATCTGATGTGCTCTGCCAGGGTAAATCACAGCAAAACAAAAAGCTCATATTTATTTATTAATTTATTTATTTAGAGAGGATCAGATAAGAACTATTACTGCTCTGGAACTGGCAGGTTAGACAAAAAGAAGCAGAGTTGTGAACCTGCACAGCACATTTTGAAATGCCTGTAATGGGGGTATTATAAAGTAGGGAGAACTCTGACCCTCAATCAGGCTAGGTTCAGTATTATGTTTCTTAGCATTAAATCAGAAGAGAGTGGATTACAGAAAGGAAGAAAGCTATTTGCCTGCCTTCTTTCTACTTACCCCTAGCTTGCTTCCAGCTATCATTTATAAATAGTGCTCTGGAGGGAAGCTAGGCATTTTATTAGGAAAAAAATAAAACTTGTTAAGACCACCTTGCCTGAAAACCTGGCTTTTGACGTGCTGGTGACAGGGACTGGAGCAAGCAGTGTCAAATGGAATAATTTTTAAGGAAAGACAACAGGAACTTGTCGCCTCATTGTATGCATTTACAAATAGAGGCTTTTCAGAGTATTAGGCCTAGTTAAAGCTGCCCTCTGGATAAAAAGTGTTCCCAAGCAGCCTCAGACAAGCTTGGGAGACAAACAGATGTGACTATGGTCCCTGGCGTTTGGCAAGAACACTCACTGTCAATAGGAAAAATATGAGCATGGACAGGGCATCAGCTGCACCACGGCCGAGCAGGCCTGCAAGTGTCACAGCAGCGGCAAACTTGTGGCAGAGGGAAACAAGAGGGCTGCAAAAGCCAGGCTGGTGTGAACTTACACTAGCATGCCAAGAATTTTTGTTGTTGTTGTTGTGTCATGCCTCAACGTATTAAGCAAAACACTGGAAAAGCTGCTGTCAGTTTTTATTCATTTTTCATCTTGCACACAGTGCAAGATTATCCTTTCTACATGGTAAATAAGAGTCTCAAAAATGAAGACAGACTGGGAAGGCAGCAATAACAAAAATAACTGAAAAAAGCTATTAAAATAGTAAATAAACCCCACAAAGTTTAGTTATTAAATCCCATAAATAAATCCCACAGATTTGATAGAACAAACACTTTTATAGATGCAATGACATGCAAAGAAATTCACAAGCATTTATGCATTTTTGTGAAACATTCCCTCTGACAGAAATTTTGCTATTTCCTCTTTAAATAGTGGCAGTCTCTTTATCATTTCTTTCTCTCAAGGTAGTTAAGATAATTTCCCTTACCATGGTAACATGTCTAGAATTGTCTCTTTAAGCTCCCCAAACATATCTGTGCCTACACAACCCAATCCCTTTTTCCACAATTTTCATAGCTCCACAGGCAAATATTTTTGGTGTACGCCTTTTCAGCAGTTACACACATTCACCTCTCCAAGACATTTTAACAGGTCATGTCAAATTTTTGTCTACCCTGACCTCTGCAGTCCATGGACCATGTGGTTACATTCTCCAAAGAAACATGTGGGGGAGCCAAGCTAAGGTGCTTTAAATGCAGTAAACCTACTGAGCAACTGAGGACCCAATGGGTTCTTCACTCTTTCACTGGTAGTTTTCACCCTTGCCACTATCAGAGTTAAAAGTTCACCAGTCACTAAGAACAGCACAATAAGATGGCTATAGGACAGCAGATACTCCTGAACACGTGTTCTAGTTCTCTGATTTATTACCTGCTTGTGTAAAAAAAACAAAACAAAACAAAATTTACTAATGAAGGCAGGTGTGGAAGAGTGTTTTTTATCTAACAGCATTTATCACATTTCTGTACACTAACTTGGAAAATCGGATACAGCGCATTATTATGGTGTAATAATGAAAAATATTTTCAAGAAAACTGATTTCTATTCTATAATTAGATGAATTGGTAAAGATCCATACATGCCTATCCATATTAATGCTATTAACATCTCCCACCTGAGGAAGAAACTCACAGTAAACAGTGACACCCCGTTCTGCCACAGTATCAGTGCATTCCTGTAGATGGCTGTAGAACTCTGCAAGTTTATCACCACTGGATGCTTCAGCTAATGGAGAGGCCTGATCAAAGTTTTTAAGCAAACTTTTTCGCAAGACATCACGAAAAGGAAAAAGTTACCTGGTTTGTATTTTAGAAGGGACTTGAGAGAATTATTTTGAAGGGGAAATCTAACTGAAACTCTCAGTTTTCAGTCTTAAAATATAGATAAAAAAATAGATATTCATATGGATATGATTGCAGAGAGAATGTGGTAGGGACAACTTAACTCACTTTAAGCTTGAAACTACCTGACAATTTCTTACAAGCTGAAATGAACAGGGAGAGTGTGAACCAATGTTCACAGCAGCAGTTAAGGATGGAGAAAGCAGAATTCAATTCTGTTTCTGTGGAACCCAGAGAAACAAGCTAATAAAATGATTAAAAAATTGAATGTGTGGAACAGCTCAACTTTATGAAAATCCAAAAATACCCTGAGCAAACTTCCTCTTATATAAGTATCTTTTACACAAAAATATCACATAAATGATTCTCCTTACACAGAAGCCTATCTTGTTTTTACATGGCTTAAAATGCAGACACTGCTGTATCTGGTAGCCAGTGGAACACATCCATTAGTGCTGCTTAAATAAGGGAGTCTGGAGGAACTTTAACTCTTACTGATCATGCTTAAATTACCACAGGTGGCAGGCAGATGCCTTCAAGAGCACTGGAGTCAACGGAACAGTTTATAGTAAGTTTAGAGGTAAACACCATTAAAACCGTATTATATATGTCTTTTTAAACATCTCTTAA